GCACGGTATTTTGGTATTCAATGTCATTGAAACGATTAATGCGAAAATATGGATTTAAGTTTTATTTTAAAAGTAAAAAAAGGCATTTGCTTTTCACGCTTCATCTTTCCTATGAAGCTGGAATGTAAAAATAATACGAAATTTGTTTATATTAGGCCATTTCAATTCTATTTTGTCATGTGATATACGTTTGCAACTTTCACTAATACCATCTTTGAACTCAAAATACTTATCAATATATATCACTAGTCAGTCAGATGCAACGTAGAACTTTGTACATAAGTACATCAGTTCATGTTGCCATACCACATCAGCACAGAGATGTAATCGTCAATTCAAATCCAATAGTAGGAGAGGTAGTAAAGGTATTAGAAGTAGTCGGAGAGGTTAGAATGAGAAGATACTATTCAAGAAGTATGATTCAATGAGAAAAGTTTAGAGAGTCGAAACTAGAGGGGTTGAAGAATCCAGAAGATTAGCATTTGAGAGAACACAAAGAATAAATGCACCGGCGCCATTGCGAACGATTTTGAGCCATGTCATTCAAGGTCTCTAACCATCGATTATTATCATCTCGCGGACCCGAACCAGGAATATACATCAACATCAAGTGTATGTATTCGGTTACGAGCCTAATTGGTTCAACTGAACGCTAGCGATACTATCATCAGGTTACTCAAATGAAAGTACGTAGACTGGAGTTCGAACATCACCTACAATAGTTTTTTTTAATAAATAAAGCAATTGCTCCACAATCATCAGCATCATTATGATCATGGTGAAAATAATAATTATTATCATGACATCCTGTTAGAGGGACACAAATTGGATTAAAGCATGATTGTGTTATTGCATACTGCATTCCTATCCGATTAGCGCTAGTCGATACTGAGAGAACATTCTAAAATCTATTCATGGTAAGAAAAGTATAAATATACTAATGTCCTTTTCCTTTGTAACTTCTATCTTCCATTTAACGTTGTTATTGGAATATATATATCTATTTTCCTGTTCAACCATGTTGTGATTTTGGGAGATCGTCTCAAGTGAATTGATGTCCGATAATACTAAACATTAGGAATAGCTAGATTGTCATAAGTGAGAGAGAATTATAACATATTCATAATAAAAACACAAGATAGATAAGTTCATACACGTTAACATAAAACCAAATATGAGCTAACTTACTATTCACTAAGCTCCACTTTTAATAATCCATTGCCTAATTGTCGACGAATACTTGCAGATGTTGTACTGTGAGAATCACTATGAAAATTCCCTGAACAACCAGGTTTAATAAGTCCACAAAATCCTCGACCAGGTGCCTGTAAACCTCGCATTATCATTGTAACTTGTACATCATTGGCATTTATTTCACTAGCTTCAATGTGTGGTTGTTTAGCCTTGGAAAACAGCAAATCAAACAATAAAACGACAAACTGTCAGTCAGATAAGAACGAGGCACAGATGCATAAATACATGCACAATCTAGGATTTGGTTCAATAAAATGGAAGTCAGGAACCAACTGAGTCGGGCAATGAAAAGTATGAAATCTCAGTGTGAAGTATAAGATATGCGGGAAGAGACCAAATGAATATATCCATGTCAATCAGAGAGAGAGAGATAATTTCTTTTATTTATTTTTAATTAAAGTATTCAACCACAGATAGTAATTATCAAAAGTAGTATAAAAAATAGGCGAATAGGAATAACAAACACTCGGGTGGAGGCTCTTGGTGTTCCAATTTCAGAAATTTCAATGTCATTTTCAATTTTATCACCACCTCCTACAACATTATGTAGGCATAAGCTTTCATTTCATTCTACAACTATCATATTAGTTCATTCTGACGCATTTGTTAGTAATCGGTAGTGGGTATGAATCCAAGGAAAAAAAACACTGACAAACAATCATGAACAAAGTCATCAGGAAACAATCATATAACATTTGTCAAATAACTGGTAAACTCACTCCTACATAAAGTAGTGATAAGCTAGAGTGATACTGTCAAGAACGACAATGAAACCACTACAGGTTATTAAACCGTTCAATTTAGAGAATGGTGGAGAAAACTTGTAGCTCAGGTGGATGATTGTGGTGGTGTTTCGTTCTCTGAGCTCAGAGAATGAAACACCACCACAAATTAGAGAATACAAGACTGTCAAATAAAATGTGTGAGTAATTTGAACCCCTCATCCAATCAACGAAAATTTTTATTGTGAATAAACAAAACACAAATCTAAGTAGAGGAAACACCTGCATCCATGAACATGGATAGATCAAAATAAAACTACACTAAATAAAAAAGACCAATAATAAATTGAAACATTGAATCAGTTACAAAAGTTATAATATGCTACTAGTTTCAACCTATCGTGTTTATTAATGACAATAACAACTTACACTGAAAACATCTAGAGAAGATTAAATATTTCACATACACAACAAAAAGTAATCCATTCACATGTTAAGATTAAATAATTTATCATAATTCATGTGGTTAAAATACGAATTAATTTCAATACAGTCTGTTAACACAAAGTAAGAAGTTGGTGCTACACAACTTTAAGTAACATTTATGGATATAAAACTTAATAGATGAAATCAATACAAAGTAACTAAACTGAGAATAAATAAATTAGAATTCAATTGGCGAAACTTGTTCAATCAAAGAAAAATGGTCACTTCCTTAAACATTCTAAATTATTTCTTAGTTTAACGATTCATGGAGCAAGTGATCAATGTGGAATACGAAATAGTTATAAAAGAATAATTGCTTAGTAATCTTAAAAAAAGCAAGACATTATTCAGTTGTAAGGATTAGGAAGTGAACGTCCTGAATTCAACCGTTGCGCTACAATCTAGTCCACCTGAACAAGAAGAACCTGCGATTAAATGACTCAATTACAGTAATCCACACAAGATGGATGAATACTAAAAGATTACTGATTGAAAATTAGGTCTTGAAAATAATTCGAACTCTTACAAATGATGATGGTATGTGTGGTGCTGTGGTGCGAACTACTTATAAGTAGTATATAACGTGAGTATCAACGTGAAGTCTGGTAGCATAATATGGGGGGAAGATCAAGAAAGGAAGAGTTAGAAAACAATGGAATTTGTATGAAACGCATGAATAGTGACAATGGATTGATGTTTCGCAACAGGAACAGTCCAGTTCCATAGGATGAACTGATCTTTTGCAAATGAACAATTTACGATATGGTTTTCCGATTTTACTGAGTAACTCTGTAATTTTCGTTAAATACAATTCGGTTGCCCCACCTGTGTTCTCATTCACTACATAAGTATCATACCAACTGAATAAGTTAGCAGACATCTAAGTGGTGTCAGTGGTTAAGTACCTTGAAGTAAAATGTACTGGGTTTATATAGAATCTCAGTGGATGATCGATAATCTGAGAACCAAACGTATTGAGTTCTATCTCTTGGTGGGGAGTCATATGTATAGACTAGTAAAGACAGTAAAATGACTATAAAAAATACACTATCATTTGTAATAGTGCTCAAATCGATGTCAAAACATAATGAAAATGTTTACAATTAATTATTAAGTCGATTAACAACAATCAGGTGATTGGATAATGATCAAACTAGTGGCCTAATTTAATTTATATATATATCAACAATGAATCTATAGAGTATGAACAAATGTACTCAATGTATGTAAGATATTGAATTTTGTTTAATTTACGTTTTTACAATTGAATCAGTTACATTATAAACAATGTCAAGTTTTTCGCAATGTTAAAATAAGCAATATTTTAAGTCAATAAAATGACTACATACAACACTTGTACCATTTGGTCATCAATGAGAAATAAAATATGTACAACAAAGTTGTAACCGGCAGGTCATTAGTTTTTTGGTTTTTTTCTCAAATCTGATCTATTTCAATCGTGATTAAACAATCGCTCTAGTGATTTAACATAATCCATATTCTATCTATTTGTTAAACATGTATAAGCAAATAAGCAGGCTCTACAAAACGTTTTTTTCCTAACAGTTCGATAGTGTGTGTAGCGGTCAAAATTTCGGATATGTGTTTGGTCCTATTTACGGTTCAAATAGTTGTTATATTATGTGATCGGTAAGAATTTTATTTTCAAAAGCTATGTATTTGCCCAGTGTTCATCATGTTAAGGTGGTCACAAAATTTACACATTTACAAGATGCCAGACTTATTGCATGAGCCATGTACTCCAAGTGTAATAAACTAGTACTATTAACCGGTTGTTCAAAAACTGACTAAGAGGTGAAGCTGCACGCTACGAAACCTTAAATATAGTAGACAACAAAAAAAGTGAGAAAAAACTTCAATATCCAAGCTACCGTTTAACATATATGCAGTTTGGGATATTAAAAGCGGGTATAAAACTCTTTCGTCTTTCACCAACAGATTCTCATCAAATAGAAATTCAAAAATACCAATGACTTCATTCAACTTATTGACAGCATCGAAAATCACCAAATAAAAACAACTACAAACAACTGAGGAGTATGCAGGTGTGCAGGTGTGTGTGTGTGTGTGTGAAACAGACAACTTCAGCAACGCAACCATAGAACAAGATTAGAATTAAAAAGTGGAAATCAAAAAGTCATGTAAAATTTGTTTCTAGAAAACCAAATAATTTATTTTATTTCTCAAAAAAATTATATATATATATATACATACATTATTATTATTGAATATATATTGTGTAAGTGTACAATAGTAAGTTTCACACACACACACACACACACACTTACAGACACACAAACAACGTTGATTCAATCTTGTGAGTGTTTTCCTTCTGTCTGACAACATACTTGACAGACATACTTGTCTGTCAGTATATAGTTCAATTAGGTAGGAAGCGAATCAATGATCCACTGCCGACCAAAATCACTGCAACTCTCAATGTATGATAGATAATACAGGTCATACATATTCTCTCTGTTTTTCCTTCATTTGTTAGTGAACGCACGCGCGCGCACGCACGCACGCACACGCACACACACATTTAATATTCAATAGAATTTTATGTAATGAATTCTAGAGAGATTTTTAAATCCTGGTACATTTGTTTCAATCAGATTTGGATGTACACGAAGTTGATAATCTAGTTGAATGGGTATTGTTTTCTGATGATTGTTAGTATACAATGAATTATTATTATTATTATTATTATTATTATTGTCATTATTGATCAATGATATTTCATCATTAGGAAGAATACCAGTTGATAATAGTAAACTCCATGGTTGTTGTGAATGATTGACAAGATTCGATGATAAAAATAAACCGCATGGTTTAATTCTTCCACTAGATTTTTTATCTTCTTCATCACAATAATGATAGACATGTGTAAGCATCTTATTATCATTATCATTATTCAATGTTACATTATGTTGATAAACATCCATTGAACCATTGATTTGAAGTAGGCCAATATACATGCCACTTGATGATTTTGAATAATTATTATTATATGTAAGAATTTGCACAATCTAAGGTATAAAAAATAAAGAAATTCAAATTGAAGTGAAACTGTGATTCACACAATGCTAAATACATTTATTTTTAATGATGATTCAAGTTGTTTATCACTACAGTCAGTCAGTTATCAGCAATGTAGAACTTGTGAGGGACGTTAGATCCTCAGAACTCGCCTCTGTTAAATAACTTAATTTGGATTTTACAATTCCGAGTGTAGGCTGATCCGTTGACCTTGAAGTCGCATTTCACACCAGGAAAATCCTTGGCTGTGATTGGTTGCTGTGTATTTTAGTGTGCTATTTTTGTGACTGTCGCAAGGACGTTTCTATGATGAATAAATAAAAACGCGATTTGTGTGCTTGAATGCATTGAGCTTGCTTTATAAGCTATATCAAGACTTTTGGTAAGTCATCGGATCAGGGCAGCCTACCTGGAAGCTGGTTCATTGTCTCGTTTATCAATTAAGGTGAACCCGTAATAGTTTCGAGCATACCTAGTGACGAACCTAACAAGAAATTGGGGGATACATGTGCATCAGCTCAAACTATATATCAGCATATGAGATGAAATTATCAACACAAATATCAGAGTAGCGCAAAATTAGTAAGTAATAGTAACAATGCATTACGGGGTTGTGAAAATTGTTAAGTTACACACTGAAATCATGTTGAACCTCCATTAGAAACCTGAAAGCACTGGATGGCCGTTTCGTCCTAATATGAGACTCTTATAAATTATCAGAGAATTATTTGAAAGAAATGTACATCTTATTTTCGTTAAGGTTGAGGTTAACTAAGCTCAAAAAAATCATATATAACGCAATTTCATACTTGACTGATAACATATTACATCAAAAGACGAAAAGGTTGAAAATTCAACTCAACAACTAGTCAAGAAAGAGTGTATACTTTACGTATCTTCGACTTAATTAGAGACCAAGTAATGATTATTTAAGTCTCAAACAAAACACATAAACTTTAAAAAATTAATTAGGTCAGCAATCCACTGGTCCTTTATTTTTATAATTTCTGCTAATTCTTGATATACTATAGAGCGAGGATCACCCTAAAGTGTAACTTTTTTATTAGTCATGAGAAAACTGAACAATTTATCACTGGTGAGCTAGCTTGTACATGCATATTGCTGTTCGGTTCCAGACTACAATCGAACAAATGTTTACTGAGTGCAACCTGGACTACAATAGTTTACCGAATGAAATCATTGTGTAATGTAAACTAACCTAACACAGAAAATTTGGATAAAAATCGAAAATTATTAAACACACATACTTGTTTACATTGATGTGAGGATAAGTGGGAATTTTTACTTGATTGTGTAGCGTCTACATGGGACAGTTCCATGTTAGGATTACGAATATCGTAAACCAATAAATGACCTTCATACGTTCCAACTAGCAAATGATTTGGTGAAAACCAATTGATTGCCCTTTAAATAGAAATAATGATACATTTATAGACTTAGACCATATATAATTATAAACGGCTTAGGAAGAGTATTATTATTATTTAGTAATTGTCTGAATTATCTCGTTGTTAATACTCATGAATGAAATTTTCTTAGTCTCTGTTGGTATACTTGCATCCATTGCGGATTGCTTCGATAGAGTCATTTTGTCATAAGTCTTTATAGGATAAATAGATACCGGTTAACGGTTAAATCCAGGACGCTGGTTCCGTCTTACCTTCAGACTCATCAACAAGATACACCTGCATTTTAATGTTCATATCCACCATGAGACTCGAGCCTAGGGCGTTCACATTCGGCTCTACCTAGAAGTTGTCGATTCAACTACTGAGACCAGACAGTCACTAATTTGTTGAACAAGTTTAATTTTTATCTAATTATTATAAAGGATCCTGTTGCTGATATTTGAAACTAAAATTTGATTAGCCTCTGTTGAAGATTTTCAATGGTTGTTTAGCCAAAATCAATCAGTGATTGGAAACTTCGGTCATGAGAGAGAGTTAATGTTTTCATTGGAATTTGAACTTATATCAAAACATCTGTTGAAGACGTTAGATCCACAGAATTCACTTGAAAAAGGTCCTAATTTTGTAATTTATTTATGAAATTTAGCATTTCTATGTTTTCATGAAGCGCTTAACCCAAAAGCCTCGTACTGCATGTGGTAATTAACTTCAGTTGTTAGGACAGTTGGAATGAAGATCCGACGTTTACTGGGATATGTTATATAACACCAGCTGACGTGTTACAAAATTTCTTGCACGTTTATCGAACAAAACTAAATGAGATATTATTGGAGCAAAAGTCCCCAGCTGAAATCTTGATGGGAAAAAGATTGAAAACGATCCACAGCCCGATGCATCCGAGTAATGCACGGAGACGTTTTCCTTTGAACTCGTAGGAAACTGCGTTGTGTTTTTTCATCGCTCTCACCAATTTATTGTGGCGTTGGACTATCTTCCTCTTCTAAATTTCGTGTATCTCCGCCTTGATGACCGCTACTATAGACTACATGAGTCACTGCCAAAATTTCTTTATTATTCAAAATATTTAATGATCGATACAAATATCGGGTTTCGTTCAAATATGTATAGTCGATAGTGCCATTGAATTATTGAAACTGTGAATCGATAAAGCTAGTCAAATAACTATATGTGCAGGTGGTAAGCAATGCCCAAGTGTACATGCGCATACAAGCTCAACAATGATAAAAGTATAAAATCTATGTGAGGTGCTACAGTCAATAAGAAATCTTCCAATATGAACTAGCTAGAAATCTATATATATATATATATATATATATATATATATATATATCAATTACTTTCAAAATAATATATTCTATCTCCATACTTACACACCATTAAAAAGTAAAATAAAGTGAACAAAAAAAAAGATAATATACATCAATAATACTTACGTCGGTAAATCATTACAATGATTATGATTATTCTGAGTGACAGTTGAACAATTATTTGATTGAATCACAATTGGATTAGTTATATCATTGACACGTATATCCCATAAACAAATTTTACGTTTCAAATCTAATGGATTTAAAGTTGATAATAAAATATTTTCAGAATTATTTTGAATTGTCGTGCTAGTATTATTATTATTATTACAACTAGTAGTGGATTGTAAACACATATCTGGATAAAAAGCAGAACCATTAACAGGCCATGTTGTAGAATTGATAATCCATGATTTAATAGGCATTAAAGATTGACAATCCCATAACTAATTTAAAGTAAATCAAAAAACAACAAACAAAATTAGAGTATTTCCATATTAAATAAAGGATAAGATTAAGGCAGAAAACAAATAACGTTACATTTAATAAATTAACATAGAGTAAGTAAAATAAATACTCGTATGATTTCTTACTATAATCAATCAGTTACAAGGTAGAACTTCGTCAGTAATTACATCAGTTCAGCTGGTCATACTGCATTAGCACAGAGACGCAACTGTCAGTTCAAACCTCATAGTATACTAGAGATAGTAGAAGTATAAGCGGTAATCGAGAAGATTATAAAGTTTGAAGATATTATTCAACAAGTATAATCCAGTGAGATAAATTTAGAAAGAGAAAGATAGAGGTGATGAGGAATTCTGATGATCAGAATTTCATAGAACACAAAGAGTGGATGCACTTGCGCTATTGCAAACGATTCTTGAGCCATATCGTTCAAGGTCTCTAATCATCGGTTACTATCGTCTCGCAGACCGCAACCAGGTAAGCCTACATCTACCAACATGACTCGGTCCATTTGTCATGTCCTATGCTTACGAATTGACTAGATTTGTGAATAAATTCTCAGAGTTCTAATGAGAAGCCATGACTAATGGAGTTCAACTATGTCGAGTGTGAGACAATTAATTACCGACGAAAGACAATGGATGATGGTCGAGTTATATCGAGGTACCGGCTCATTGGTCAATAGGTTGAGTGTCAATACTCAAGACCAAAGGTCCTGAGTTACATTCCTAAATAATATATATATATATAGCACAGCTTTAAACTGATATTAAATTTATGTTCTCTGTTAATCACATTGAGATTGATGTGTAGTTGCATGATTGAAATAATCTATTTCACAATAAATTTATTTGAGAAAAAAAGCTTGTAAAATTCAAACAATATAACATTGACACTTTACTTTTCTTAAAAGTAAAGTTGCATGTGCATGCATAAAATGCCTACCACTTACTACGAACAATAATATATATTGGATTCATTTCTTTTTATTTGTGTACAAGAGGACTGATTTTGGTTGTGTGTGTGTGTGTGTGTGTGCATGACCTAAGTAAGATATTACACGTAGTGAAAACAATCAAACATTTGACTCATTCATGAATAAAGAGAGAGAGACACACACAAGATAGACAGACAGACAGAGAAAAGAACTACAGCACTATTGATACTTTTAATTGCTCTATTTCATTCTCTCTTTGTGTTTTGGTTATTTTGAATATTGTGAGATTTACACCTTTTTTTTTGTTTAACCCGTATTATTTCAGTAGAAAAATAAACATGAAAAACTTTATCGAGAAACACAATCAATAACACTCACAATAGCCTAAGAAAAGAGACAGTTCAAATCATGAACAAACCCACAGCAGCATAGAACAAACACTACTAACAAATGTTTGATCAGTTTTTGTGAGCTTACAGTTGAGGTCAAAAAAGTTGTCTTTCTAAAACTTCAATAGTAGTGAATTGGTTGGAAAGAATTGACTTCAGATTAAAATGTTATTATTAAACAAGTATTTAGTGATTACACATTTGAAATCATTAATCAATCATCATTGTTAGACCACCATTAGAAACCTGGAAGCACTGGACGGCCGTTTCGTCCTAGTATGGGACTCCTCAGCAGTGCGCATCCACGACTCCTGCTCCTCGCAGGATTCGAACCCGGGACCTTTGGCATTGTAGGCGAACGCCTTACCATCGGACCACTGGGCCGGCATCCAACGGTGTTAATGTCTAACTCTGATTGATCTAGGGATTTTGCGCGACCTCACCCATTTGTCTTTGGTAGTTACTGCCTACACCCGACAGGGTTGAACTCCACTGGTCACGTCTTCTCAACTAGAACTCCGAGAATTAGACTGATCCTCTTTGAATTAAGTAGACTGTCGAATGTGGACAAATTCTCATTGTATGTTATTGTTACATTCGTGTCTAATAATTTACATATATGTCCCAAAGCACATGTGTATTGGAAGAACAGAAAGCAGTATTATAATGTCTGCTGTACCTTTTAGCATAATTCACAAAAGTGTACATTAAAAAGAATAGCATGTATGCAGCACGCCGACTGCTTATCGTTTTATTTGATTGATAGTGAACACTGTTGACTTCTTTATCCATTTGAATAATATGCACTTGGTAAATTTCATTCTGCAAGAGTTACTGTATTCATAAATATATGTTATGTAATCATTCTGTGATAACAACTGTAAGCGCTTACTTCTTATCTAGTTTGTTACTAAGTAAGTCAACTTTTATTTTGTGTTCTTAGTAGTACATGGATCATAAGAGTAATCGGTTATTTCACTTCTGTATTAATATCAATATAATCAATTGATAAATACTCTCATTATGAAATGTATAAGTATGCCTTATGATTGTTTGGTATGTGTTTTTGATCTTCTCACTGGATTTCATCCATGAGAACACTTCTGATATAGAGTGAGGTGAAGTATATATATATATACACTGAAAAATACTATTTATGTTTAAGTAGTAAATAAGATGATAAGCAGAAGTTACATAATAAAATGAATTCTTAATATACTTTGATATGTTTATTGTTTATGTTGTAGTTAAATTTGTTAATGTAAAATTTCATGAGCTTTCTACTACTACTACTAACTACTAACTACTACCAAATGAAATAATTTCACATGATAGAATAACCTACACCTAGATAACTATAGAAAACTAGTGTCATGGACCATTGATTTATTTCGATTGGAAGTGTTTCGATGAATTTACACCTGTTAACAAAATTAATCAAATTTAAAATGGCGATAATTCAAGTCACTATAACAGCTATCTTATATTTTATTTTATTTTTTTCTTTTTATGGGTATGATGGCGAATGTAACTTCCCGGCTGCTCAGACCTTGAAAAGCTTCTGATTGTCAGATGGGCATAGGCCTCATGACTTCCGAAGGAACTCGGCTTACATCATGAAACGTTATAATGTCTAAATGAAGACTTTCTAACTCCCAGAGTAGAGTTTATATGCAGTGAATTAATTTTTTTGTTAGCGTTTTTTTTGGCAAGTAGGTTTTTCCCGGTATGGGGTCGCCAGTCCACATCTCAACCATCCTCCTTTACCAGGGCTTGGGAAAGGCAGTAGCCCCGAAAGATCTACAGGAGGAGTTTTATGTTTATTTCATTAAATTCTACTTCTTGAATAATATTTTCTAATCCTAATCTCTCCGATTACTGCCTTTACTATCATGGGATTTGAATTGACAATTTCATCTATGTGTGGTAACGTGGTATGGCAACATGAATCGATGTACTCACGTATGATGTTCTATGTTGTAACTGATTGACTTATATTTTATTTAAAAATTAAGTGAAACTTGTTAATATTAAGTTATTTATCTACTAAAACTGATAAACATGTAATGACAAAAGGATAAGGGTTATTGATACTTATAAAAATGAAAGAACTAACTGTATATGTATTGATTCACATGATGCTAGAGGGCTTTCGTTTACTTTATCCTTGAGAACTACTATGAACTCTAAATTATAGCCCAAACTCTTATTCTTAACTCCAATCTCTGCGTTTTTAAATGATAAATCATTCATTCATAGATGTTAGAATAAAAGAAATGTACAGTACTAGGTAACTCCGACAGTAGAATCTTTGCAGCTACTGCCGGTCCCAATCACGGATAAAGAAGGAGGGTTGGGCATGGGGTTGGCGACCCTATCCAACCAAAAAACTAACTTGCCAAAAAACGCTAACCAGAAAAAATAATTCAAAACCCCTCTACTATTGACTTTCTTAACTTTTATCAATGAATCATACTTCTTGAACAATATATTCTCATCCTAACCTCTCCGATTACTTCTAATTCCCTTACTACCTCTTCTACTATTGGATTTGAATTGACGATTACTTCTCTGTGCTGATGTGGTATGGCAACATGAACTGATGTACTTATGTACAAAGTTCTACGTTGCATCTGACTGACTTCATGGAAAGTAAAAGAACTAAAACTCATATTAGGAAATGGTAACAGAATAGACTAAAAGGGGATAGAGGCAAGTAAAAACGGATAAAAAAGTGTAAATTAAATTTATGTTTAGATAAACTTAAGATCCCAAGGCAGTCAAAATAGTAAGTCTCTTCTACGAAGATCCGTATGTAATAACAACATGAGATTCAGTCAGTCAGTCAGATGCAACGTAGAACTTTGTACATAAGTACATCAGTTCATGTTGCCATACCACATCAGCACAGAGAAGTAATCGTCAATTCAAATCCAATAGTAGAAGAGGTAGTAAGGGAATTAGAAATAATCGGAGAGGTTAGGATTAGAAGATACTATTCAAGAAGTATGATTCAGTGAGAAAAGTTTAAAGAGTCGAAACTAGAGGTGTTGAAGAATCCAGAAGATTAGGATTTGAGAGGACACAAAGAATAAATGCACCGGCGCCATTGCGAACGATTTTGAGCCATGTCATTCAAGGTCTCTAACCATCGATTATTATCATCTCGCGGACCCCAACCAGGTAGTCGACAATTACCGACATGGCTCAGTCCACTAGTCAATGACTTCACGGATTTCTGCCGTGTTTTGGTTTGGCCGCTCCTAGCTTTCTTCCAACCTATTCCTACACTACAAAACAAGGCTCGACGAGGCAGTCGGTGGTTAGGCATACGCAACACATGTCCCAACCACCTCAACTGGTGAAGTTTCACCACTTCATCTATTGATCTGCCATTCTTACGTAGCACCCGATTCCTAATAACAGCGTTGCTCACTCGGGTGTCCCACGATATACGAGCAATGCTTCGAAGACACCTATGATCGAAAACCAGTAACCTACGAATATCTTCTACTCTCACTGGCCATGTTTCACAGCCATATAGTAAGATGGAGCGAACTACTGCACAGTACACTCATCCTTTAGTCAGCAAACGGATATCTCGCCTACGCCATAAGTGACGCAGGTTGGCGAAAGCCAATCGAACCTTCTGTATCCGTGCTGAGATTTCGTCAGTCACCAGGCCATCGGCACTGATGAGACCCCCAAGATAAGTGAAGCGGTCTACATGTTCGACTACTTCACTCCCTATCACCAGTCCAGGTGCCGATGCGACCCAATCTTGAAACAACATTTTGCATTTCGAGGTTGAGAACCGCATCCCGAACATGCTTGCATTGTTGCTTAGGGTAGTCAGAAGACTCTGCATTTTGTCAGCGTCTTCACCAAGTAGGACAATGTCATCGGCATATTCTAAGTCAATAAGCGAGCCACCTGGTAGAAAAACTGCTCCTGAAAATTCAGACGAGGATAAGGTTATGTCTAGGAGCATGTCTATGATAAAATTTAACAAGAATGGAGAAAGTGGACATCCCTAATGGACACCACTTGAAGTGAGGAATTCCGGTAACAGTTCGCCATAAGCTCTCACTCAACCAGTGGTGTTTGAGTAAAGAGCTTGTATAAGGTTAATGTACTTCTTTGGTACACCTTTCAATGACAGACACTGCCACAGAACCTCACGATCTACAGAGTCAAATGCCGCTTTTAGGTCCAGGAAAACAACTATTGTAGGACGTCTAAATGTGTGTCTATGTTCCAGGACCTGTCTTAGTGTGAAGATGTGGTCTATACAACCACGTCCAGGTCGGAAACCACACTGGGTTTCTCGAGTTTGCTCTTCACGAGTTTTCGTTATGCGTTGAAGCATTACTGAGGCCAATATTTTCGATAATATATTAGTTAGACTTATTCCCCTGTGATTGTCACAAGAAGACTTCTGTCCTTTCTTATAGATTGGGACAATCAAGGATTGAGACCAGTCGGATAGGATTACGTCCAGTTCCCATATTCTACCTAAGATCTCAGTCAACCTAGCTGCTAATACTGCACCACCATCCTTAAATATCTTTGGGGTCAGTCAATCAGGACCTGCAGCTCGCCCTCGCTTCAGATTTCCTAACGCTTTCTCAACTTCATTAAGACTAGGGGGACTTAGGTCGATTTGCCATTCAGGATGACTGGAGATCGTGGGTAACCGAAGAGTGGCTCGTGGCCAGTTGAACTGATCCCTAAAGTGTTCTGCCCATCGATCCAGTCTCCTGGATTGAGAATAAATAATAGTCCCGTCATTTTCCGAGATAGTCTCACTCACATTCGGGTTCTTAATACCGGTTTCTTTAATAAGGCGGAAAAGTTGTCTAGTGTTGCCTATCGCCGCTGCCTTTTCCATCGCTTTTGCTTTCGCCACCCACCACTGTTCGCGGTCGTTACGCAGACTTTTTATAAGTCTGCGCCTAAGCTGACTACGCTCTTCATCATGCTCAGAGTCAGGTGGGATGCGTTTTCGAGCATCCATCAGTTCGGTGGATGCGACTGAAATCCACGGCTTCATCCTAGCCTCATGGTTTACCTTACTAGCAGATATCACTGCTGTTTCCACAGCCTTTTTGATATCATACCAACCTGCTTCTGGATGGGAATCGCTTGCATGGTTGCTTAACTCTCTTTCTAGTTGCTCCTGAAATATATTTTTCGCCTTATTATCATTAAGTAAAACCCTGAGAGGCTTTCTTACGGTGTCTTTCCTACGTCCAGTAAGCCTTAAACAGATACGAGCTCGCACTAGAGCATGATCTGAATCCAAACATGTGCTCCAGAACGAGCGACAGTCTTCTATCGAACCCCTCCATCGGTGGCTGATGGCGATGTGATCTAGTTGAGTCCAACGTTGAGACGACTTCGGGGGTCGCCAGGTCAACAGATGCTTTTCCTTATGCCTAAAGTTAGTGTTCGCTAAGAATAGGCGGTTATCTGAGCATAGTTGCAACAGACGGTCGCCATTGTCTGTTCTCTCAGTCGCTACACCATAACATCCACCTAGGTGTCTTTCATTTTCACTCAGTCTACCTACTTGAGCATTAAAGTCACCAGCCATTATTACTATATCAGAGTGCCTAGCTTTTTGGAGGAGGTCCGAAAGCTTTCTGTAAAACTCATCTTTAACCTCGTCTGGACTGCAGTCAGTGGGGGCATAGGCAGATATGACGAAGAGGCAACGGCGAGTGTCCCTATCCTTACGAGTCCTTACTGTCCCGTTTAGTCGGACAGCGCACAAACGACTATCTACTGGGATCCAGTCTAGGAGAGATAATTCTGCCCTAGGACTCAACGCTATGCCTACACCAGCAAGACCCCTGGAAGCAGCATCAGGGCTACCGGATACCCGAAGAGTAAATCGAGCTGCTTCTTCGTTTTGACAAGGTGGAATCAGGTTAATGACTTTACTAGGATCCTGTATGCGCGTTTCCGAGACGCAGCATACATCGATGGCACGAGTTTCTAAAGTCCTAGCTAATGATGCCTGTTGCCCTATTTGACACAATGTCCGTACATTAAAAGCTCCAATATGTAGTCTAGAACGGGGTTTCAAGAGACCAGGAACGACGTTTCGTGATCTCGCTTCGTCTGCATTAGCGGTGCAGTGAGAAAAGGGAGTGTGAGTACAGTTAGTCGTAGAGATAAGAGAGACATGAGGGGGTGTAGGAAGGATTTGATTTTGACCAATTTGGTCTCGCGTGCTGTTACGGGTATGAGGGCGGTTGTCACTTCCCGGCTGCCCACACCGTGGAAGGTTGTTTCTTGAGGGACCTGAAAAGGAAGAAGGATTAGTGTTGGTGCGTGACCGCAGAGCCCAAGGGACAACTGCTTGAGGCCGGTCACGCACGGTCTTTTTATGAAAGGTTTTTTGAGGATTAGCTCCGCTCTTTTTAAAAGCCCTTAGTGGGCACCCTTACCCAAGGAGACGGAAATCCGTGAGTTAGGGGGAGTGTGACATTTTTAGGGCCGACCTTTTCTAACCCTTCCTTCCTTGTGAGAAGGCAGCATCGCTGCAGATGCTGGTTGTCCGAGGGAAACACCTTACTGCTGTCACACCCCTCTGCAGTCAGCAGTACGACTTCGCCCTCAGACCTTGGGTAGCTGCTTTTAGTCACATCGTTCTCCAATCGACCTGCCTGGCATGGTAGAACCTTGAGGAACATATGTTCCAGCCAGTATAGCTCGGTTGGGTCATCACGATAGGCAAGCCCGACCACCACGTCAAGGTAGCAGCTGTACAATGAAAAAAATTACAGACCAACAATAAAGTGTAACTATATATAGCTTCAAATGATTTAAAGACTCGTTTGTTGCCAAACTACTTTCATAGAGTAGATTTCATTTATGACAAGGCAACTGTCGACAACAACAATAACTAAAGTTGGCAAAGTAAGTTGTCATTCGAATGTAGAGAAAGACTCATAAGATCACTACCAACTGAATGTTAGTACTGATCACAACGAAAATGGTTCAGAAGGACAATTAGAGCTTCACAATTAAATTATCTAGCTCGGAGAACATAACTCTATCAAAAAATCATTTGTCTGAGAAACACATCTATATGATTTCATAGAACATAACGGAATAATTTATACAGCTGATAAAGATTTTTTAAAGAAAACAATATATGCATCCACTTACTTTTACACATCCAGATATATCTAAAGTCATGAGATGGGAATTCGTATATCCTGAGATTTGAGTGGCTAACACTTTCTCTAATGGCCAATCATGATATGTAGCAGAATTGATTGTTAATGGCTATTGTAAATTAGACGGCAATTTAAAGTATAGAAAAATTACGATTAAAAGATAACTAATAATGGGAATTTTAATTATTTTGCAATAAAAATTATACAATAAGAGTGTTCAGAAGTAATTCTTCATCTACGTTTTCTCTCATCAGGTACAAAAGTTTTAATCAGTAATTAACTAGTTTGATGTCAGTGTCAACTACTAAACATGAACTGATAAAAACTTTAGATTCACTAAAATTTTACATAGAGTGATAGTCATAAGCACTGATTACTCCTCACTATTTTTTCTAAACATATGAAAGAGATAAGAGGTTTTCCTTTGACATCTTATTATTCGATTGGCATAGGTTCTTTAATCTTATGCCCCAACCTCTCCTCAAATGACGGGTTGTTGATTGATGAAGTTTAATTGGCTCTTGGTAACTTACAGTTTTTGTAAAGTACGTGAGACAATCGTTTCAGTGTGCAATTTAGAGTAAACATAGTCACAGTTAGATCTGTATTAGGTTTCGACTATCTAACCTTTTCTCACTGAATCATACTTCTTGTATAATATCTTCTTATCCTAACTTCTTCGATTACTTCCAATACCTTTACTACCTACTCTACTATTGGATTTGAATAGACAATTACATCTCTGTGCTGATGTGGTATGGCAACATGAACTGATGTACTTATGTACAAAGTTCTACGTTGCATGTGACTGACTGACTGAATGTCATGTTGTTATTACATACGGATCTTCGTAGAAGAGACTTACTATTTTGACTGCCTTGGGATCTTAAGTTTATCTAAACATAAATTTAATTTACACTTTTTTATCCGTTTTTACTTGCCTCTATCCCCATTTAGTCTATTCTGTTACCATTTCCTAATATGAGTTTTAGTTCTTTTACTTTCCATGAAGTGCAATAAATCGAAGCAATACAGATATTTTTGACCCAGTATGTTTTGCTAGTCTTGCATTTTCGATGCCTAATACTACAGAAGAGTCAAGTTTAGTTATTTTCATGATTAATTAACTCGGACCTGCAGCATAATTTTCAAACAAGTTAAAGGTCCCCTCGGCAAAAACATCTCACTATTTACCCACATTGTACAATGTATTTATATATCTACCTTGTTTTATTAGTATATATTTTACTTCATTAAATTGGATTTTGAACTGAATTAACTCACTCTTCGAGTAATTGTTTATGAACTGCGTTATGTGTGAGTGCTAATGACACTAGAACCTGGGACTTTGTAGCTAAAAATTGGATGTCTAGACCATTAAGCCATCGCCACACTTTGCTTAAAAGTCAGATAAGGAAAGTAAAAATTTTAATATGATATAAATAAATATACAAAGTTATCACAAAGATGGACACCTGCAATTGTGGTTGATAAGAAGTCGAATTTACTGGCGTCTTGCGTAATGTAACCAACTGAACAGAACCATCGTTTAAACCAACTACAACGGCATCATTTAATTCGCTGTAACTTAAATTCAAGGGTGATATTGATGTAACAGATGAGTCAAAAGTGGTTTCTGTAACAACTCGCTGAGAGATGTCATCAACTACAGTGAATTCATTTTCATATGCAGTGGAACCAAAATAATTTTCGCGAGAGTTATTCAGGTTGTAAATAGCCAAATACCCACCCCATATATCCCCTACAGTAAGCACAAAATACAAGTACAGTATGTTAGCATTAATTATCATTGTTTAAAAGTAAAATTAACTGTTCTCATATTCAGTTTAAGTACTGTCCAATATACTCATCTTTTAAGATTTTGTGTCTACAAAACAGCTTACATCTTAACGTGTCGGCTTATATAGCTTTACAAGTATACATTAATATAGACACAAAACTATGAATTTAATGTCCTGCTGCTGCAAACACACATCTAGACATTTTCTTCGTGTTGGAAACATTCAGCGTTTTAATAAGCCAACAATGAAGACCATTTATGTGACTGTAGCTGTAGTAAAATTTTTTATTAACTGTGGAGTTCGGATAGATCTCCTTATTTTTTGAAATAATTCACTTTTTAATACCTTGAAGGAATAAAAATTGCAACAGATCAATGAGTTCCACTTCTATAGGCTCTAAGCCCATTATAATAGGAGACAATATTGCGTTAACTTTTATTTTCACCTGGAAAGGTTATTCAGTATGTTTTCATTCATGCAGTTCGTACAAAAACGAATACTCGTAATCTAGCAAAGTGATTTCTAATGATTAATTGGGAGCTTCCTAGGCTATCAAGAAGTCTGACAGGATTGCCATACATTTTATCAAAGGTGTAGCAACATACTATTTTAAAAAGCAACGACTAAACAGTTCACTTTCCTTACAAATGATTTTCATTGAAATCGAAAGAGAACTGGGTCTGCAGTCAGTAAAGCAGCAAGAACTGATCAAGATGATATTGCGTTATTCAAAGCGCCGAAAGTCTGCTGGTCGATTAATGAGCGTTTATCATGTAACCAATGAAAACTCGTATATATTTCTCTGGAGAAAATTAATCAGCAATTTGATTGCAGAAAAATTCTCAGGTATATTTGATGCTCAAAAACAAAGAGAAATTTTGTGAACAAAAATACCATTGACTCTAATTTCTTCATAGTTTCCTCAAGTTTACCCTTATTTATCAGATATGTTAAGCTAACGCATTAACTTGCATGCCGGCTTCTCAGTTGAAATCGACAATTGTCACATAGGATCAACTTGAGAAATTCGACAGTAACATGCAACTGTGTTACTCCCAATTTATATTGAGAAAGTGGTTTGCAGAATAAACTAATTACTATGTATATTATCCTTACACATAAAAAGATACCATTTCTAACCTGATACAGATGAAGACCCAATGAATAAAGTTCGATCATGTACTTCTAGTGCAGAAACCACAGACAAATATGTGGCATGTGAGGAACCATAACTTACACCACCTTCGAGATTTAATTCGTGCATAGTAGCGTAGGGATATATGGGTACCGCCGTGGTTAACCTTCAAGTGCAATTGTCAAATGGTACAATATCCAATATATTTTTCACAAGCTAGTATAAACCAGTTGATTTCTTCGCGCTGAATTCCTGCTCTTTCGGTACAGTTCCAGGTGTTTGCTAGTGTGTAACTAAATAGTAGTCTCGCTATTCGACTGTATAATTCTAGTCAGTTGTTTGTGAGTTTGTATGTCTCGGGATTTGAACGAAAACGTTTGTTTCAGGACAGTAGTTTGCTGGATAGCAGCAGCTATCACATTACCAGGCCGGAGATCAGTTAGCTGCAATGTGGAGAATAATAAGGATAAAATTCTAATGCTAATATGAATAAGATTCCAGAACTAAGTAAATTAATAGATAATTTAATTTATTAAGCGGTAATGAAGATTGTTATGGATGAATAAAGTGTGAGAAAGGGGGAGGAAACAGAGATAATAGGTGAGATAGATTAAGTAAGTGATCTGAGTCGATGGCAGTGGTAATAACTAGCAGGTCTCGAGACATGCATCAAGCACAGCTTGTCCTCGAGGGAGATGACAATCGGCCACTCAATTCAGGTTGGCTGCTTGTTTTACGTGCACCATATCCGCTCCAACGCTAAGTACCTCACTGACACAGGTGCCCAAGTTTCTGTCATACCACTCGGAAGCAGCATGTCCCAACCTACAATGATTCGATTACGCGCTGCGAATGGCTCTGTCATTCCTACCTATGGTACACAAAAGCTAACGATTAACCTGAGCAACCGATGGCAGTATCTGTGGATGTTCATCATTTCTGATGTTCCCACAGCTATACTCGTTATTGATTTCATACAGCACTATGAATCGCTAGTCAGTTCACGTAGTCTGCAGCTAATCGATATTTCGTCGAACAGAAAATGTATGGGCTTCCGAGATCAAACAAATGCGTACCGTATAATAGGTTTATTTCATTCGCGTGATGACATTTGCCACGCTTTACTCGAAACATTCCCCCAGCTAACTAAACCACTAGAGGAGACTCCACCGGTGACTGATTACCTGATACATCATATCACGATCTCGCCGACTGGCACCAGACAAATTAGCTTTCGCTAAACGCGAGTTCGACAATTTACTAGCTACAATTATTATTCGTCCTTCTCACAGTCCCTGGGCCTCACCACTCCACATGGTTCGCAAAAAGGATGGGATAAGTTGACAACCATGTGGCGACTACCTAGCATTAAACATAGTAACACGTTTCGATAGCTATCCCATCCCCCACATACACGACATCACGGCATCTCTTGAGGGCACCATTATCTATTCTAAGATTGATCTGGTACAAGCACACATCAGATCCAAGTCGCTCTTGAGCATATTGGGAAAACTGCTATCACGACCTTTTTCGGTCTGTTTGAGTTCCGACGAGTGCCATTTGGATTACGGAATGCTGTTCAAACTTTTCAAAGGTTTATCGATAGCATAGTACGAGACTTTGATTTTGTTCATGTCTGTATTGATGACCTACTAATCGCATCATCAGGCGTAGATGAGCTCTATCAACATCTTACACTCTTATTCCAATGTCTCTCGGATAATGGAATAATAATCAACCCAGATAAGTGTGAACTCAACAAGGCCGAAATAGAGTTCGTGGGTCATGTTATTAAGCATGAGGGTATCCTACCTTGTGAAGATAAAGTACGTGCAATCATGAAGTACACTGCACTATCTTCACTCAAGGAACTGAAGGCTTTTCTCGATTTCGTCAACTTCTACCGACGTTTCATCCCTTAAGTGGCAGAGCAGTTACGACGACTAACCGACTTACTTCGCGGTAATCCACGCACACCAGAATTGAACGATACCACGCGTACTGCATTTTCAGAGATCAAAAAAGCTTCAGCTCAAGTCACGCTCCTCGCCTATCCTGACCCATCAGCCACGATTAGTAAAGCGGTTGATGTATCAGATTTTGCTATAGTAGCCGTTATGAAACAGAACATCTCTGGGAGCTGGCAACCTCTCGAATTTTTCTCACGACGCCTTACTCCCACTAAGACGAGATATAGCGCTTTTGGTCGCGAACTGTTAGCAGCCTACTGTGCCATCAAACATTTCCGGTACTCAGTAGAAGGTCGTAGTTTTATCCTTTTACCGACCATAACCCTCTAACGTATGCTCATGATACCAAGCCTGACTGCTACCCACCAAAAGGGTGCAGACATTTGCACTATATCTCTCATTTCACTACAGATCTTCGCCATATTAGAGGCGAGTCGAACTATGTTGCCGATGCTCTCTCACGTATTCAAGTGAATGCAGTTACTTTACCGGTGCTCGATCTGCCTGCTATGGCCGCCACCCAAGCAAATGATCATTGTAGGACCATTGCAACCATCGCACTGGTATGATCATTTTACAAGATGGCCCGAAGCTATTCCCATCACTTCTATTACGGCGGAAACAGTGGCTCACAGCTTAGTAGAACGATTGATATCTCTGTACGGCTGTCCCTCGACAGTCACAACCAACCGAGGATGTTAGTTCGAGTCCGAACTATTCTCTTCGCCAACCCATCTGCTTGATACGGAGCACATACGCACTACCGCATCTAGATAATCAACACTGATCGTCTCAAGCCGGCACACGTTTATGATAGTGCCCCACCTAATAACTTAGGGCTCAATGCCAGACCTATCAAACCTACTAGGGAAGATACCTACATATAATTTAGACCCCAGGCTAGACACACCAGAGACCTAATTCTAACCTCCCAGTCAAGTGTCATCTGCACTGTTTACGGACAGAACTTTGGTCTCTAGTCCATCGCAGCAGGCCACGCCGACCTTGACTTCGGATGAGATTGCAGTCTCACGAGGTACGTACGAGACTTCCGTCTCACTTTCCGGTCGCTGCGTTCGCTCACCTGTACTCCTTCGCGACTAACTCCTCAAACAGCTACGGAAACGGTATAGGACTGTAAACCATACAACATGCGTGCTACTCCCTTTAATTTTTCTTCGATAATTTTATACTGGGAGCACACCGCCGACCATCACCTAGTTGGTATCGTCGACTGCAGTTAATCTTAGTGAAAGCTGGCCTGTATGCAGTTTTATCGATATATAGGGAATTGGATATTACAAACCTCTTGGTCGACACAATTATTTATGGATTAGGCAGATTTCAAAGAAAACTTGGATCTTGGTGCCATACGCTTTCATCGACTTGGCTGATGAGCATCTCAGCATTTTTGCTACTGCAAGATTGTGAGGAAAGTCCCAACTTTGATTCCTGACCTTAACAATAGACTCTAAGTTTAAATTTCTTAGACTAATTTGTAGCTTTCTTTAACATTCAACAAGTGGACAAATTTTCAAGGTCACTCTGGAATTGCTAGAATGTCGCTCGTCTTGCCATCTCTGAAAACGCCCTCAATTTAAACTGTACATTGACTGACGGGATGTTATTTTACTTAAGACAAACAAACATCAGGAATCTATCACACTGCTTGTAAAACAATCTGTGGAGGCCAGTGTCTCCCTAGTTTCATGCCGGTCGTTAGCCGAAGCGTTATTAGACTTCGTATGCTGCTGGTCCAGAAAACCATTACTAAACAGCAACTCCCGGTTTATAAATCAGAAGAGGAATACATAATGTTGAATACGTTTATTCGGCACACCTCAATTAGACCAGCAGACCGCATGCACGCAAAGATAAGACCAATATGCGAGTGCTGAAACCCAAGCGAGCGATTGGCGAATGAATTAATAAGATCAAAATGTACACATACATACATGGGAAAATAGAGGAGTCATCGAAATATTTAAGAGATTAACATGAATATGCGCGTAGGTGATAAGCAATGCTCAGTCATACCAGCTCATGCAAACCAGACAATTATAAAAGCCAATGGAACATATAAGTTATCGCTGTACAAATGGCCTGGTTCAATAAATTAATCAAAAGCTTTAACCAAATTAAGTATGAACAATCTGAAATGTATGCAGTGGCACTACAAATCAATTATCGTCCTAGCTTCAACTACGAAGAAAATCTAGTTGACAAATAAATGGGAAGAGTTGAACAACTAATTCAATTATTTTACCTACGATACAGACAAACGATTGAAAGTCTATGTTAAAAATATTTCCTTTTTCCAGACCAAAAGTTTTAGGAGTATTACCAAGTTTATCAGAGAAATTTACACAACCCTGTGTTATGCATTACACAGGCTGATAACTCATACTGTAAAAATTATAGTCTATAATTAAAGTAATAACAAACCAATAATCAACACGTGAGTAAATTATTATACAAATATGTAATAAACGTCAAACGAAATCATATTGCAATGAATTGGTTTGTGGATCAGTGCTCCCTGGATGAAGTTTAACCTCATAATGGTTGCATTTGATATTATGCTCAAACCAAGTTACTGCAATAATCTTCACGTAATAGTGATTTGTTGTACTACTGAAGTTTTCAGTAAAACCATTTATTTATCATCATCAATCTTCAGCTTTTTCTGTCACGTCAAGAATCAGACATCAATATTTGAAACTGATGAAAACGTTTCAAATGCTGTAACGTTGTCTGAGTACCTTCATCCAATCAACCTTTTGTGAAATTTCAGCTTCGATTATACAAAAGTACAATAATACATATACTTACCCACATTATAGTTGAATACCGTTTCATTTATTTTATTTTAATTATCCATGAGATTCCCATCCTATCAGTGCCTTTTGTGCATGTTTGGACAGCATCAGTGCAACTCCTTATGTATGTGAAGCGTTTTCCTCTTCATGACCAGAGTATAACAGCAGTTCCCCTGAAGCTAGTCTCATTGTCCTACCTGTGTCCAATGCGTTTCACTGAGGCCGAGCACCTCGAGGTGTATCGTTTCATTTCTGCCGCAACTTGAAATAGTCTTCCAGTATCCCACAATGTACGAACGTTCCATGTACCTAAAAAAATGGTTGCTCTGGTTGTCAGAAGAGGCATCAGCCCCGTGACTTCCGAGGGGAACTCGGCTTTC